AGCAAGATGGTGAGTAACAGAGCAAGGACCTACTGTTTGAGAAAGTTTCTCACAATATCCACAATCTTCAGATCTGAATGCAGGACAAAGAACACAGTTTTAACATTCGGTGGCGGAGGACAGAAGTCCTGGGTGTCTATCATGAAGGAATGGCAAACCCCGTGCTCCTAAAAATGGTCAAAATGGCAACACAACATTTACCTTTAAAACCGAATGGCCAACGATGAGGTTGACTGGGGCAATAGCCGCGCGTTGCCAGTAGATTGCCTGAAGAATTGAGTTTCGGTTCAATAGTATCGCCAATGGGCTTACCTTTGGACCCTCTCGAGAATCCAGGAAGTGCAAAAGCTCCTCCTGGTAGGCATCCTTAAGTGGACCAATGGAGGGTGATCCTTTGACAGTAGGCATGGCGAAATCAACTAAAATGAGATGGTTGATTAAGGCAGGAATGGTAAGAGATTACGGCGGTGGTATGCTCCTTAAATTAGCAACCAAATGTAAAAAAAGCAAAACTAAACGGTGTGGCGCAGTGGCTGGCAAACGTTTTAGCAAGTAGCACATTCGACAGAGCAGATTCTCCTCGTAGCACATCAGAAAGATCCATAATTCAACAACTCTTCACCGTCAAGTGTCCCTACCGTCTTTGGGCAATCACCACTTCCGGGCGACTGCAACCACAAACGTGTTAGCCACCACGACAATGACAGGCGTCTATGCATGAGTCTGGAGGCCAACTCTGACGCCTTAACCACTACTCAAAATCTGCTTTAATAAAGTCCTTAACAACAACGAAAGCCTGGATTAATTTTATGACACATCAGAAAGTTCTAGCGATGAGCAGTTTTCCATAAACTCATGCAGCATGAAAGACCGTAAGAGGAACGTACAGGTCCAAAGCGGTGAACGAAGTTAAAATGTAGTGAGGGAAGAGATCTCAGTGCGGATATGTGATCACATAATAGTCGCGGGAGAAAGGGGAGTTGGGCGTGACAAGGACGGAGTCTTGCCTTCAGTTAGCTCAACGATATTTCCCTACAATCATGACCTCTACAATATTGGGAGAGGGTTTCCGTAGAAGACTGTACAGTAATATTGCTTGCCCGCCCGCAGACATTGCGGTGTCAGATTAGGCTTTAATAATGGCAGTAGGTTGGGAAGATGGCTGGCTGCTGCATGACTGCTTTTCATCAGGTTCGCTTTAGCGTTGTGGCGAGTTTGTAGCTATCCAAGCAGTCCAATTCAGGCGTGCGGAGTGCGTGTTGACTGTGCGAGTAAATGAAGAGGGCTGAATCGGTCACAGAGTGATTTCCCGATATCACCACCTTCGTCATTACTGTATTCCTTCGTTGGTCCCTATACCGAAGTTGGATCCGCTTCAAAGATGAGGATGTGGGCCGATCGCTGGGGCAAGGACTTCATTCGCCTGAGGATTATAAACCATACACGAGGTCATAAGCAGACAACGAAACGGAGGTAGCCAGGGACGCGCAGAGGATGTAGTGCTTATGATACGGTGTTGCGAGGCAAGCCCATGCCGGTGAACGTCGAGACGAGACGAAAACACGGAGAACCAATTTTTTGCGAGCATCCCCACACATTAGCTGCCTACTCACACCACTCGGGAGTCACAAAGAAGCCACAGGTGACTATCCGACACAAACTGATTACGTCCAAACCCACTGAGACAAAGTAGCGCGACCGGAGTCGTGTAGCGACTCTAGCACAGTTGTGGGCCAAAAAAACCACGCCGGAGAAGCGGCAGAACTACTGTGATCACAGACGGCTGAACGAGTGCTAGGAATGTGGAGTGACACCGGCTCGGAATTCGCAGCCGGTTCGACACGGTTAGGTCATATCTTCAAGTTAAAAAGGGCAAACTCCTCGTATGAGGCAACCGTGTGAGTCTCAAACTGCTTGATTCATGATTTCCGGCCCGGAGTTAGTCACTAAAGGCAGTGGCCTAGCCCGAGCAAGGCAGCGTTAGGATTCTGTCTGGGAAGGATAAGTAATCACATCGGAGGCGTGAGGCTAAAAAGTACACCGGGGGCGGCGTGGATGGGTATACGTGGAAGCCCAACATAATGCCACCTACAAACACGGGTCAAGAAGACTCGACGGTCAAACACAAGTCTCAAAAAGGTACCCGCTGGACACGTTTTGGTTGCTCATGCAGTAGTCGTATAGCGAAATCCTTCCCCCACATCGATATGGAATGCCTGTGAGCAGACTTCTAGTAGACACTTCAAGGAGGGTAGCCAGAGTTTCGAATGCCCTTGAGCGACTTATCCAGCCAAACACATGAGAGCGTGATTGAAAGCAGTCGGGAATTTAGAGATAATGCTAGGAATAAGATCCCCGCCTAATCAGAGCTGCCGAGCCAGGGGTGCACGCCTGCAAAAATGGAAAGAATATTTGCCCAAGCTTAGCAGCTAAACTCTTCAATAAGGAACTTCAACTGCAGTCATCCTAATGGGCCTTGTCAGTCAAAGCCTAAGTTAAAATCTAGTTGCACCACAACTTGTCATGTTTGCCGTCGAAAGGCCACCACCAGTGTCATGCTGACCATAACATACACCCGGAAATTCGGAGAGCATTACTCGCGTTGACAACTAGTCGAGGTCATGTGTTTCGATCAATCACGATGGAGTTCGGTTGATCCATCAACGCAGATGTGGGGCTATAAAGTGAGTGAACTGTGGCAGATTAACGGATTCCAGATAAAACAAAAGTAGTCATAGCCGACCAGCTAAATAGCCTTCTGAGCCATAGCGGTCAGTGTGCAAGGCTCGGTCATAAGACATGGACTACCGGTTAAAAGCAATGACGTTTTACTTGCACGATTGCTACTCGAGCCTATCGTCAAGATCTGTAAAAATGAGCAAAACAAGGTAACTCTGCTGTGCGTTATCAAGTTTTCAGATGAATCAGGATTCCTGCAACTTCTAAAGTAACCTGACTGAATAAGAGAGTGCCAGTGGCGCTGCAATCGTAAGTAGTTCACCCGCAGCCACCTACAGCATCCATCTTCACCGGAACGACTTTGTGGTTTGATTGACAGTTGAAGTGCTTAAGTGGTCGGCACCATAATGCATTCAGAGGCGTCTGGCGACCCCAGTAGTAGCCGTAAATGAAAGTTGGCGTGTTGTGAGCTGTGGTGACGGGAATTGTCCAAGATGTATTGTGTCCTTAGGTGGGCACGGTGTCTGAGCAGAGCTATTTGGCCTCTCTCACTAACATCCTCCAAAAGACAGCAGCGGCTAAGGAAAGAGAAATGTCGCGAGTTACAAAGCTATGAGACGCGACTTTTGACGGAGTTAGTGCTACTCGGGTGGTCAACAAACTCGGTTTCGGGCACCTGGTCTCATTCGATGCCTGCATCACCTACTGACACAGCTCGGCGACTCATTGTCAGTCAGGGCGTCTGAACAATTACATGTGGCGAACAGGCCAAACGTGGCATACAATAGCTCGCACAAGCATCAACACAGCACCTTCACCGAATGAAGCAAGCAACTAAGTGTATTAGATTGCCACATTGCCAAAACAGCAATCGGCGAGCAAATCCAGAGATGAGGACCTGCACTGGTACACGAGGTGGTGGTAGCCGTAACTTGAGTGTGAAATCGCTTAGTGAGGCAGACTTTGAAGGCAACCGCTTCACCTTCCGCTTGCAACGCCGATCATGCTCTCATGGCGACAGAAAGCCAAGACGACCGAAGAGGGGAGTGGGCGCAGTGACTGGCGAGGCTAAAGAGCACTTATACGCGTGCCACACACGAATCTATCACACGTGCCAGGCTCCAGTGAGGGTGCCTCGGACTCCAAACATGCAAGTGTCATAAGGGTCACATTAAGAAGGAGCCATTGCGGTCTGACTGTTGATCCGTCGTAGTAGGTTCATACGCGTCAGATTTCTTCCGAAGAAATGTGCACTGAATTGTCATAGGGACACCCCAGTACCGAACTCGCTCTCTCTATCCGGCGAATCGGTGGCCGCTGCTGTTAGCGAGTCGTGGTAGCTCAGGAGTGCGCAAGACTGGTCACAGTGAGAAAAATATGAGCTAGATCGGCGTTATTCCCTGTTCCCCCTTCATCACGAACCGGTGAGAAGTCTGAGACAGCGTGAAATGACTGACTAAGGAACGAATGGAAAATCTCTCGTTGGTACAATAAATGAGCAGGTTGGGGGATTGGGGATAAAAACGGCTTCTTGCAAGGGAAAATGCGTGGAAAGCGATGAGCAGGAGGCAGATGGTGGGTCCCGCGCGACTAAAGCAATTCTTAAAGACGGGGATTTCATTGGTATTAGTTAAGACCCGAGACAAGACATTCCACTAGGTGAACACAAATGCATTTCTATAGTGGTGGCAAAAATCCCGTTTACTGCACGGTTGGAGGACAAGATCAAACTACGGGAGTCCTGGTTAAAGCGTCTAGATGGGTACAAGTAGCAGTAGGGTCGGGAGCTTTTGCTGCTGTGAATTAGACTACACATGTAGGGTGAATGGCATGACGGAAGGTGACCTGGTATTTACCGACTGAAGAACGTGGTAGGTAAAAGAGAAACGGGCGCAGTGGCATGCATTGTATACGACATCAGAAATAAGATACTAGTATCAGCAAGGAGTTTATTCTTTGGTTGAAAAGTCACGTGCAAACACGAATACAAAATAGAAAAAGTATACAGTGAAAAACCCTGAGATAAACGACAACTGAATGTCTGTAAAGACCTGTGGTGAGGTAGGTAGAACGTTGTTAAGGCACACTCAGTCTCCATAACGCGGAGTAATGCGACAAGTACTAGAAAAAAAAAGCCGGACAGGAAAAATCGACCTGCAGCGGAATGTTGGTTGTCTTTGGTTAGTACTTAATAAGGGTTGTCAACACAAGGCATGTAGCATAATTCTTTAGCACAGAAAAAAGGAGTTCATGAACGAAGAATTGTCCGCCTGGGCAGGGCGGAGGAGTTGCAAACCGCGTGCGCGATGTTGGAGCTCCCACTAAACACTCTCCAGCAAAACGGCCATGCCCTGACCGCCACCGATGCAGGCAGCACCGACTGCGCGCATCTTTTGCGAGGAGGCCTCGCTCAGGCGGTGTGCCAAGTGGCCCAAAATACGAGACCCGCTGGCGCCCACAGGGTGGCCTATCGCGATGGCTCCACCGTTGATGTTGGTCTTTGTGCGTTCTAACTTGAGCGCCTTCTCCACAGCGAGGTATTGGGCGGCAAAGGCCTCATTTACCTGAAATGGTGAAGTGTAGAGGGACAGGAAGGGGATGAATTAATATGTGCTCAATTAAGTTTAGTTCCCTAATCAACCTAGACTACGTCCCTTTAGTGGATATGCAAACAATCAAATTGTACTCATTTTTAAAGGGTTTTCTTATCTGTTGAGGAGGCGTCTGGTGCCCGAGTGTCTAGGGTTGGGAAAAAACACCGAGGTAGGATGGTTGACACTGGGGTAGGCCCCAGAACCAAACAAAGAAATGACACTAGTCTGGCTCCCTCTCTATGATTTTTAAGGCCGCCACTTTTGTGCTCTCCATTCACGTGGAATTTGTCTTAATTGTGCATCAATTGGCCCATTTTACTTGCTATACGCTGATCTTTACCTTTTTTGTTTGTTTGGACTGCAGTTATGGGGTCATATGTACACTACGCTAGCACCATTGCGAAGGAAATACAATCTGGCGCAGATCATGCCCCGAATCCACCAATAATTGTTGATGATGCCGAGATCTGCAGTTTGGGGCTGATATGTCGCGTTTGTAATCCTCCGGTTCTACTTACTTCGCGTGCCTACATTTAGTCACGGTAAATGAAAAGCGTTTTGCAGAAGATTTTGGAAGATACTTTCGAAATAAAGCGTATCTTTCTCTTTCTCATCTGTGACAAGCGACGGAGATTGATACCACGCTGAGGGCGTGCAAACCACGGTCCTCGCAGCCTGATGTGCGCTGGCAATCCTACGGTAACTGGTTCCCTGCCGGTAGATGCGCTTGCGCTTCCGCTGAGTACACAGGTCGTGTGCGAGGCTGCCCAGTCATCCACGTCCTTTCTGTTGTTGTTGGTCAAAACCCTGGTCATGTGTTTGCTGTGGACTATGGAGTGTGGAGTGGAGCGCCAAGGTGCGGGTTCGGCCGCGCCGTCCACTTGCGCACTCCCCGCTTCCGATCTTCTTGATACCGTGTCCAGGTTGGGGGAGGAGAGAGTGCGATAGACACTGTGCAAGTCTACTACCAATACAAACTAATTCACACACAAGTCACCGTCCCTGCTCTCACCTTGCTGTGGAGCACACGGTGGATATCGTCGAATGCGACGGTCGAACTATCACATGTACCACGCGTACTGGTTTTTGTGCACACGCAAACAAGACTTCAAAAGAGTCTTGGATATCATATTAAAGGGAGTTGCAATAAATACGACATTTTGTATGACCTACCATACTGACAGCACAGGCACTAGCTAAAAGCGGTTTTGTTGGTGAGGCTGGTGAATTTAGGCCTAAATATTCATAATAACTTTTGGACTGAGCCTATAATGCCTCATTCCCAATGACTCACTCCAAGTTAGCAAATTAATTTCTGAGGAGATTAAAAGGCCGAAATACCACACTAAAAAGGAGCCATTACAGCGTGCTTCAATCTTAAATAGAAGTAGCCACCAGGTTGGCAACCTTCTAAGCTCCTGCCATTAGCGAGTCCTGATAGCTCAAAAGTGCGTAAGACTGCTTATAGTGGGAAAAGTATGGGATAGATCGACGTTATTCCCTGTTTCCCCTTTATCACGAAACGGTGAAAAGTCTGAGATAGCGTGAAATGACTGACTAAGGAGCGGATAAAAAGTCTACCGTCAGTACATTAGATGAGCGGGCAGGAGGGTCGGGGATAACAAAAAAGTGGTTTTTTACAGGAAAGGCGATAAGTAGAAAGCAAATGTTGCGTCCCGTTCGGCCAAAAAAGTCCCTGAAGACGGCTATATCATTGGCATAGTCAGGATCCGGGACAAGACCTTCCCCAAGGTAAACACGAATGTATTCGTGTAGTGGTGACAGGAATCCCGTTTACTTAACAGGTTGAGGACAATTTCCGGTGACAAGACATTGCTGATAGAAGCGAACAGGCGAGTTCCAGGTAGCAGTTCAGAAGAAGATGCGATCACTGGGACAAGAAATTTATTGGGTTGACGTTTCAGATTCTCACTCGAACCCATCATCAGAGACAGTCGTGGATAAGGGTGGTGGTGGCACAAGGAGTGCAGTATTTATAGCACGCGGCTGCCGTGGGACTACATGCGTACTATAATTAACATCTCTCGCAATCACCGCTGGGATCGTAATTGGTGCGATGATGGCTTGTCAGCCCACGTACGAGTCATCAATGGCCGTGATGTCGTCATCCGTGTTGGATGCTGATGTGACGATTGGTCAGACATCAGCGTCGATGAATTAGCACTTGCTTGCCTCAACCTAGACTCAGACCCTTGTCCGCGTAAGTTGGTACCATGTCCTGACCAGGGGAATAACTTCGCCCACATAGCCTCTCAGAAATCACTTCTGTTGCCTGAGTCGAAGGCCACAGTGAACTCAAGAAAACAAACAAGTTTTCTCTGGAAAATGATGCCAGTGTCCTAGGGTGCAGCAAAAGGTGAATATCTGGTCAAGAGGTAGATTATTGTTCAAGTTTAGGTAATAGAGGGCGGCACACAGCCACGGGGAAGGATGTTGTGGTTACCGCTTCAATAGTCGCAATGAATACGCCCAGACGGCAGGCGTCGTTTAGGAAAAGAAATAGCTCACGCTGAATAACTGGTCGTTGAATAGTCCTTCAACAAATATGAAGTATGACAGACAACTTTCTTGCATCTGCTACGGTCTAAAACGCTAACTCATTGAAAGCATTCGTAGAACTCAGGATTACCACCGTCATGGACACTGAGCATGGAAGACCGAAGAAGAGCAACACGTATAATAGTTATTATGCCGCCTGGTCATGTGCAGGGGAGAGAGATTCCAGTGTCATAAGGATCTTTTCCATCTTCTGGCGTACAATGAAATAAACATCATGTTCGCTGGTCTTCACAAGCATCATCCTAAAAGAGGTAGTAAACGATGTCAGGTTCTGGCAATTTAAGAATCTGCCAGACCCAAGCATGACGGTTAGGCCAGTGGAATCAAGGAGGACCACCAATAACCGCCCCCCCTCCCGGGAAACAGTGGTGACATGCAAATGCTTTGGATCATATTCAAGGGAATCGGTGCAAAACGAGAGGTCGAGGAAAACAAATCACCTCAATGAGGTCGCAGTATCTGTTAACATCACATCCGACCATGTTTGGATCGACGGCTTGCATGAGTCGAGTGATGGCAGAGACAGGCCCGATGCCCATGATGGACGGATCACAACCGGTCACCGCGAAACCTACGATGCGCGCCAGCGGATGAATTCCCGCTTTTCGTACAACTTCCTCGCTAGCGACGATAAGGGCTGCAGCCCCATCATTTATTCCCTGAAAGACAAAGATCGAAAAATCAAGTGTGCACACTAGAAGCATCCTTTAAAACCAATTAAGGCAGTTAACATCGAGTGAGAGGGACCGCATTTCAGTTGAAACACGGGGACGGAGACTAGCGCAACTCAATCGACAGCAGTTTAGTCAGAAAAAAATGGGGCGTTGAACATTCCAAAAGGTTAATATTAGCAGTCAAATAGTTGTGTACAGCAGAACACGGTAAACCGAAGGAGACGTTCCTGAGCAACTCATGTAAACCTACACAGAAACAGAGGTAGTAGTGTATAACAGTAGTCGTAAAATGCAAAGCAAGCATGCGGGCGACCTAATTCGGTCAAAAAATGCGAGGTGTATTCCAAGTATAGGCAGCATGAAGGAAAACGGAGTTGGGGGGTCACCCTTTGAACTGAAGGCGCACAAGAGGCAAACCAAA